TCTGGGCCCTCCTGTCATTTTTTCATTCAAACATGAACACAAAACTAGCTTGATTGTGCCTTGAATAAGTTCAAACTGAGAAGCAGCCAAGCTTTTGTATTCACTTTAAATAGACTGTGATAAGCAGCTGTGTGTTCAGAAAGTCTAAATAGATCACCACTGTGATGGTATCCGTGATTCACCTCGTCTTCAGACTAACATTATTTCTCAGTAGGGCCAGACGGATCCCCAGTCGTGTTACTGAGAGCATGTGACCTTGTAGGGTGATGAGCGGAAGAACCTGCTGGGAGCCCGTTGCCACAGTTTTAATTATTTTGTAGTTTGGTGGGATCTGAAAGAAAGATGGCCTTAGTGTGATAGTTTGTGTCAGTATGTGAATGCATATGCCTTAACCTGTCCATGATCTGAGTGTACATGCACACTGTAGTGTAAATCTGACATCAGTGCTCTCCACCAAAAACCCTTCTATTTGTGACGGTCCTCTTTTAAACCTCTTACATAACCCACTACTCTCAGATGTGTGATATCATAGAACTATTTTTGGTTTTTCCTCTGAAAAAGGCTAGTCAGAGTTAGACAAAGACTTGTCTATCCTTTAAATAATACGCTGGATATCCCTCTCATCTTTACACTTTTAATACACTGTCCTGAATTGCCCAAGCTCCAGTTAGCTGCAGCGCTGTCCTTAAATAATGCTGTGGTTCGTTGAAATGTCAGGAAAAGCTAATGAACTGAAAACTAGAGAAGAAAAAGGTTTATAAAAAAAAGGTCTTTAAAAAATAGTCTTCCAACCAAAAACAAAAAATGCAACTGAATAAATGCTAAAAATAAGTAAAATCAAGCGCTGCTCCTGCTTGCATGTGGACTTAAGCCACTTGCGTCCTTTGAACCCTCTGACCTGGATTCAGTGTGCAAAAAGAATTGTTTTTAAGAGAGTGTTAATATGCCTGATGACATGGTTAGACCTTGATATTACTGTTTGCTTTTCATGGCCAGTTTTTATTTACACTGAGAGGACCAAATGATTCTGTGCCAGCACTGAGTTTATTTAATAAAAATGATATTACACCTTTATTACTCAAACACATCTATGGCCACGTATTTATGATCTCTAAAAGATCAAGTTTTACCTCTAAGAACACAAGAATGACAAATTGATTACTTGTAAATGCTATGTTTTAATTGCATTTTTCTGTGTGTTAACATGAACCGAAAAGCATGCTTTCCTTGTGAAAAGTGAAAAAAAAATTTTTTTTATCCCAAATGTGTTTCTCCGATATTTTTGTGACACCGAAACATGCTGACAGAATGATGCTGCATTGCTGATTTTTTTTTTTTTTTTTATGATTGATTTCATGTTTTGTAAAGCCTTTTCTCAGCCCTTAACTGACCTCATAAACTGATAATACCAGAGGGGTCAACGGTTACAATTGCTCATGACTCGATGAAATCTACCACTTATGTTATTTTCTCTCCAAACAAAAATTTATTGGTTGACCAGCAACAAAAGCATGGGTTTGCTGGTCTTTCTGTCAGTCTCCTGAGACTTTCTGTTAAGCGTTATAACAGATGAAGCAAAAATAAAATTGTAAAAAAGAGCACAAACAACTCCTGCAAAAGAGAATAACCCCTGTGAACCTAAAACACCTTGGGGATGGCGAAAAATGTTGCAGAGAAGCAATCATAAGAGGACTGGTTTAAAAATTCCATTAGCTCTTATTGTAGATCCGTGGACGTATCTCCCAGTGTGGGTGTACCAAATAGCCTTAGCTAAATGGAGATTAAGGCAATGCTGGAAAGACCCCTTGAAGCCCTTTAAGACTGGTGTGTAATTTTGGATTTAGCAGTGGTTGCGAGATAAAGGCCTTTCTTTCTGCCTAATTGATGGCTGTAATCCATGTGTTGTTTTAAAAACCTGTCTCACTGATGTGCGAACACAAACCCCTGTGGCTCTGTGCAGAAAGTGGTGATTTAGTGGGCCAAACTGAGGGTCTCCTACTGGTTGGAGGAAGACTTTTATATTTGGGGATCTGCTGTAATGGAAACCCTGCAATTTGGGTACTGTAAATGGGTCAGATGTTGTTTTTGTTTTTTATTTACTTTTAAGAAGCACAAACCCTTTTCATCATATTACTGTTTAACCACAATATTAGGATATCCAGTCCTCTTTTAAAATTGCTTTACTTTTGAATTATATTTGACTTGATCTTTTAGTTACGCTCTCATATTCTCAGTCAGTTACCTTTAAACAATGCTAAAGTACATTTCCAGTAATAACAAGTCATCAGCAAGTGTACTATTATAACTGCAGCACAGCAACTAATGAAGAGTGAAGATGTCTAGAAGTGGATGGAGGCTTAATGAGAAGATCACATTCATCACCAAAGTTAGGAGGTGCTTGAACTCCTCAACGCTTTAGTACACTTTTCGGAAATCTACTGATGCACCTTTTGGTCTCAGTCAGAATAATATCCTTGGGTTGATCACTATCATGAATCACAAGTTCTGCTTAATCTCTACAAAGTATGTAATTAACCCTGCGCTGATTCATATCGCTCATTAAATTAACACAAATAGGACATTGAAAATAGAGCACGCTGTCTTATTATCTCAGCTCAGCTGCTGGTGCCTAAATGTTAAAGTACCTCTCAAATCTCTGCTCTGACAGTTATTCATGGCTTTTAAAGACGTATGCACAATATCAAAGACATGCCTGTGTCCATCATTTAAAAGCCACGGTGGCGATGGTGTCACAATTTTCGGAATATAATGATATGATGCTTCCTGTACGGTAGTACTATACATTCAAACGAAATGTGAAAGGCTAAATTAAATGATAAAATGACAGGTCTTTGTCTGTGTGGGCGCACGCTGTTTCTTATATGGGAAATTCTAATGCTAATGCAAAAATTAATTACAGCCATGTTTGCCTTTGGATGAAATTTATGACCTATTGTTGAAAATGTGCTACAATGTGGGAGAGAGAGAATAAAACTTGATTAGCATAGAAATGACAAATGAAAGGTGGGGTGGGTGGAGAGTTGTGACTTTTGTTGGTAAATAGCTTGTTTTAGACTGAGAGGAGGCTTTAAATGGATATACTTGTATTTTAGAGAGGCAGCTGTGCAGGGGAAATGCATCAAGAACATGGTTTCATGAAACAAATTACTAAATAACTCTCAACTTTTAGTTATACACCCAAGTATACTGCCATATGGGTTATGCTCGCTTGCCACATCCCGATTTCATTTCATCAGCTATGGAAAAATACTACATAGTCGGGTCCACTTTGTCTTTGTGAGCCTTTGATTTACCAGAGATGTGCCTCAAAAATGCTTAGACTGCATCTGTTGATGCAGACTTGTCTGTAAAAAGGCAATTATTGAGTGAGGTTCAGCACATTTGATTTTTATTTAAGTGGGTGTCTGTGTGTGTTTGTCAGTGCTGATTCAAAATGCCTACATTTGAAGACAAGAAATGCTCTTAACTTACCAACACGGAGATGAATTAAATTGCTAAGCTGCTTTTCCCTTTTCATCAAAACGTACATAAACACATAAGAACGGGCACCCACAAATCTAAACCTACCATATTCGAGCTGCCGTGTGGTCCAGACTGCTTGAGGATGACAGACAGCTTCCTCAACCAACTGTCAACATCTCCCAGCGAAAGCCTCAGGAGATTCTAGGCATTTTCTAGCAGAGACCTGGTAACCCACTGCAGAAAAATAGAGCATAAACACCATTCTGATGTGGAGATGATGGTGTTAGCTAGGCCATGTCATCAGAAGTGAGAATAACTCCATCATAAGGCATCTCTACATTCAACACCAGAGAGAAACACGACAAAGGCTGACCTAAAAACACAGCATGGTGTCCTCTAAAGCTACAACACCATCAAAAAAGACAGACAAAAGTGAAGATCCTTTGTGTAATACTGCGCAAAAGTCTTGAGTCCCTACTCATTTCTTAATATTTTGTTAGGAACCCCAAACCATGACAGAAAATCCACCATGTTTTACAGATGTCTGTAGATGCTCACTCTTTTACCTCTCTCCTGACGTCCCACACATATCGACAACAGTTCGTACCAACAGTTTCAAATTTGGATTCATTAATCTATAAGACCTCTTGCCACTGATTTTCAGTCCAGTTCTTGTGTAATTTGGCATACCTCAGCCTTTGCTCCCTGTTTTCCTTCCTTAAAAACGGCTTCTTGACACATACCCGTGCATTGAGACTATTTCCGATGAGGCTTCAGTGAATGGTAGGTGGATCAACTTAAGGGAAAGGTACATCTCTCGGGTAGTTCATCAGCTTTTTGCTGGATTTCTTAAGAACATGACTTTCAGATACTGGTAATCTGCCGTAGACGTTTATTTATTTTGGCCTCGCATTTCTTCTTTTGTCCTCCACTCGTCCAGCTTCCTCAAAAAACACACTCCACGCAGTGCAGAGAGAGATATGCCAAGTTTTCAGCTAATAGCTGTTTGCGAGTCACTTTGTTGGTGCCAAAATAATATTTTATGCCTGTCAAACTGAGTTATCAGCTATTGAAAATGGAAGAAATTCTTAGTTTTTGCAGCAGACTGCTAGCAACAAAATACCTCAACATAAAGAAATGGGGGTGGAGGTGTGTAAAGAGCTTTGCACAGTACTCTACCTGTCCTACATGGCAGACAAATAGCATTCTGGACACTAGAAGACACATAAATACACAACCAGTATGAAAAGTCATCCATATGCGGGTCATCAGTTCTTTATGAATGAGTGTCACATTCTCATGATTTAAACCCTGAACTGACAGCGGTCACTGAACCTGCCTTCCACTTCATAAGAGTCAATGACACATTCTTAAATAGTGCCACTAACAACAGTAGCTCAAGTGAAACCAACACAGTCTGACATTTTGCTGTCGGGATTACTTGTGATTGTTACGTTTACCCCTAACTGATGGACTGCATGCTCACTATATTACTTCTTCCTTTTTTTCCATTACAGCTATCCTTTGCAGCGACAACTCCTGTTCTAGCAGACAAGAAAAAATACCCCAACTTCTTCCGCACTGTTCCGTCAGACAATGCCGTGAACCCAGCGGTGGTGAAGTTTCTCAACTACTACAACTGGAGCCGTGTGGGGACCCTCACACAGGACGTTCAGAGGTTCTCAGAGGTCAGTTCGTGCTGTTTTCATAAATATACTTTTCTTTTTTTTCCAACGCTGTTAATGCTCCATGTTTAGTGTTGACCAAAAGTTCAAGCAGTTCACTAAAACAAATCCATCATCTATATCAAAGACTACAGTGGCACCACCTTGTCATTAATACTAAAACTAGGTGAAGTTCAGTGTATTTGATTGATAGTGAAAATACCCTTAACGGTTGGAATGAATACTTTTTCTTATTACATTTCTACTTATTGTGGATAAAATATACATTTACCAGGTGTGAGAGGAGTTAAAATCTCCCACTGGTCGAAGGATATGCACATAATTAATAACATGGCTTTGCATTATTGTCTTCAGCACTCTCAGTCCCAACAGGGATTCTTGTTTAGCAGGCATTTGTTCTTTTTTAAGTTTGCGCGATAACAGTGCTGTTTACCAGCGTTTATGTGTGCCGTCCTCCTATCGCCTCTCACTGGGAGACATGTTTTTATTTTCTGAAGGTAGAGGTTAAATCACAAAACAGTGACTATATTATCATTCAAGGAGATTTCCATCTTGGCTTGTTCAGATGAGGAAGCCAGTAGAAATAACACTCTTATTACTACTTTAAAACAAATCACCACTCACATGTAGATGGATTAGATGGAAATTATTTAGGCTTTATGCACTGTACAGCTGTCACTAATGAATGATTATTCTCCAGTCACATGAAAGGATGCACACTGGATTATTAGGGAATGTAAAGGTAAAAAAAAAAGATGAACAAACATTTCCATCCACTGGTCAAGGAACAGATGAAGGCAGAACAAAACCAAAAAACATGACTTGTAGTTGAGGGCAATGTCCCAGTTTGTTGGCTCCACCTCCAGAAATCCGACACAGATTTTTCCACTTCTTTTGACCAAATGGAGGCGTCGTGTGCACCTCCTGTCTGTGCGTGTGATTGTGTTTTTCTCTAACTTACTAAAACGAATGAGTTGACATTCACATCCTGCTGCTCTCTCTAGCTCTCCGTTTGAACATATATATCTGTAGTAGCTTCTGTGTATATAACTGAGACCAACCACACTTATATCCTTATTTTTAACACCCATGTCCCTTAGACTTCTGTTGTTGCAGTTCAAAAATAAATATAAATACAGTTTATTGCATGTATAAAGAGATAGTTCATACTGAAGATAAACCAGCCCTCGACATCAAAGACGGTGACGCGCTGGGAAAATATTTCTAAAATATGTCCTGCATCGCCTCCAAAACTGAATTGCTGCTCCAGCTGGAAGCAAATTCTGAGAACTGCATGATATTTAGTTCCTATTATATTTACTACGTTCCATCTGTTCTTTTTGATGTTCCTCTCCCATTAAATACGCAGAATGCTGAATCCAGCCTACATTACTAGAGCTGGCAGAAGTAATGCATGGATAGATGAAGAACATTATCTGTGTTGACTCAGCACTTGTAGCTAACTCTCTTATGACAATGTTGGAGCTGAAATATATCTCAAAGCTGGAGGACGTATTTTGGAAGCTGTGGCAAGTTGGATTTCAGCTCAGGAACAGGAGGCACACAATCGTTTGCACACCATGCAAAAATCCCTTCTATTATTAAAAGCAGCTAGCAGCTTTTTAATATAAGAGAAATGGGAGAAACAACATTCAAATTGATCCACACCATTAGCTAAAGATATTAAAAGCTTAAAATCATATTATACCAAAATGGATGCTAACTAGTGAGACAAACACATTCCTGTTTGTAGGAGGGTTGAACATTAGGAAACATATCGATTTATCACACGTTTGGAGAACTACACAAACTCATGGCACAAACATATCACGTCGGCAGCACAGGAACATTCTCCTAAAAGAGCCTTGTCAGAGGCATTGAAAGCATGAATTTGAGAAACATATTGTGAGCTCTTGCCTCCAGGCACTGGTTGAAAACAAAGTGCTCAGCGGCTAAAGGGTGGGTGGTGGAAGTGGGGGTGTGTATAAGAAGTCTCACTGCAAATCTCAGAGAGACCAAATCCCTTTATCGCTCCCCTCCTGAAAGCGCCAAGGAGCTTAGGACGGGTGCAAGACAGACGGCACGATTCAATCAACCTGCCACGAGATTGGCCTCTAATCCCGATTTACAAATATGCAAGCATTGCTTCCATACTTTATGATTCACACAATCCTCTGTCGAGTTCAGAGCTTACTGTTCTTTGGTTCATCGAGAAATTACTCCAGCTCGCTACCAGAAAAAGAAGAGATATAGAAGTAAATGTTATTTGAATAATGCAGGAAAACAGACATTAATAGTAAAAATGTCATTTTTACCCACTAATAACACTATTCCAGTTTTACATTTGTTTTATATGGCAATTTTATTAATTCATAAACATTTTTATATGAATTTTATGAACTTCAAATAAATTATATGAAGTTCATATGTTATACTCTTAACCTTCACAATTGTTTTAGTGTCACTTGTCAGTTTAAACATTTCTTTCCTAGGATCTAAAAACACAGAAAGCCAGTGTCCTCCCACTTCTTGAATGTGAAAATATACAAA